TAAGTAACTTTCATTAGCTAATAAGAAAAATTTATTTTTATTCTTAAACTTTTCAAAATACGGTGACTTTTCAACAACTATCTGAAGAGTTCCTGTCTCATCTTCCAACAAAAAAATTAATTAATGTTCCTACTTTCATAGCCAGGATGAAGTTTTCATAATGAGATCCTGTTATAGGATGATGTCAAACAAATGTGGATTTGGGAGTGGTGACATTAGAGTAATTTTGAGTAACACTATTGCTATTCATTTTGGCTTTCAGGCACCAAGATATCAAAGAGCATGTGATGCACTGTCTGTTTACATGGATAACAAACTGAGTAAGGACAGTGTAGCAGGGAGTACACTAAGAGCAACTTCAAGGACAAAGGCCATAATTGTTCATCACAGCTTCTCCTCTTAAGGTTTCCAGTGATGACAATTTAATCAACGGTTATGTCTTCATTCTAAAAATTGAAAAGTAAAATCAACATTGCCTCAAACTATTTCAAAGAATGCATATTCTGCATCGTATTAATAAGTATTCAGTGAAAGAAAAATAGAAAATAATCAGTTTCATCTTTCAAGTTGAGATGCTGCTGTAAACAGGGTTAAATCATTGTGTTTTGTTTTTTATTGCACAACTTCTCAGAATCGTTAATAAACTCATGTGTGCTGTGAATCCCTATGATAGGATTTTAGGATAGAGCATTTCCAAGTTTATTGGACTAGAGACTTTTTTGTTTGTTTGTTTAGAAAGCACTAATTCACATTCATGCAATACTGGTGACTGCTAGTACTTGGGAAATCCTACATCTATGGCCTTAGCAATGGTGTGTGCGTGCGTCGGGGGGAGTGTGGGATGTGTGACTGGTATTAACCAGCACAATCAGAAACATACATTCATGGTGTGTTTGTCTCCTATTGCTACTATAACACATTACCACAAACTTAAGTGTCTTAAAACAACACAAATATATCACCTATAGTTCCTGTATGTTAGAAGTGTGACATGGGTCTCACTGGGCTGAAATCGAGGTGTTGTTTGACAGGGCTGCTTGCCCTCTGGAGGTTCTAGGGAGAATCTCTTCCTTGCCTTTTCCAGTTTTAGAGGCTTCCTGCATTCCTGGTTTCATTGCTCACTTCCCCATCTTCAAAGTCAGCAACACTGCATCTCTCTGATCACTCTGCTATACTATCTCCCACTGACCACAGACAAGGAAAGTGCTCAGCTATTAAAAATTCATGCTAAAGATTTGTGTGATTAGATTATGTCCACTTGAATGGTCTGGGCTAATCTCCCCATCTCAACGTCAGCAAAGTCCCATTTTGCCATGCAAGGTAACATCGTCACAGATTCTAGGAATTAGGGGTTGGACATCTTTGGGAGCTACTGCAATACTATTCTGTCTACCATACATGGGTTGGTAAGAATAACTTCAGAATTTTGGCCAGCAAGTTTGACAAATAAGAAAGAGAGCAACTGTTCCTACTGTTTGCTTGGTTTTTCCCCAGCTATTACTGATAACGTCACGGTATCAGGGAAATCAAAATTACTGCCTCATTAAGGGATGTAGAACAGTAAACATAATATGAAACATGTTCCCAATCACCGAGAACTTGGTTCTGCGTTCACAATGTAGAGAAGAGCAGAGCACCCAGAAGTGCTTTGGGAAGTAGATTTTCCACAAACAGCCAGCTGTCTTCTCAAGAACGTGGGCCTGATTCTTGAAGTTGTACATTTTCCAGTAGGAGGTACACACATGCGCCTAAAAACCTTTATCAAAGCTTTCCTTACTAAGGGACTGTGTATTCATTACCTCTTATGACAGGTACTATAATTGTCCCATCTCAGGTAAGAAAATGAATACAGTCTATAGTTATGTTACTTGGCAAGATCATACTTTCACCAAACCAGTAAAAAATACCTGTCTGATTCCAAAACCTGAGGTCTTAATCTTACACAACTCTGTGTCTCTTCACTTTTATAACCCATCTCTCTTGCGTGTCTTCCCTCTACCTCTCCCCAACCCAAGGGTACACACAAATGGTTTTAGGCAGGGGAGAAAGGAGGTGTATGTACCTGCACACACGCAGACATCAGTGACTCCAGTGACTCTCTTCCTGTCCTTTGTATCTTTGTGAGGCTTTATGCCTTGATTATATATCTTTCTGATTTGATCTCTGATAAGGTATGGAGAGACTTCTGGGCCACTGGCAGATTTAAAATGTGGCTAGGTCATCCCCTGTGAAGTGACTCAGCAAGTTACGTGAGCACAGTAAACTTCAGTTTTCTCCTCTCTGAGAGATCGGTAATAATATCTGCCTCACAGGGGCATTGCAAGGATTTAAATAAGTGGTATATGTAAAGTACCTGATAGACAATAATAATGCATTATTATTATATACATGCATAAATTGTAGTTGACACTATTGTCATCAATTCTTTGCTGTGTTTACCTACATAAAAGAGCTATTCAAAGTTCTTGTCTCTGCAAAATATGCCTATTGACATCTACCTGTGTCAGTGACAGTTGTACAACCAACAGTCATACTTTAATTCACACCCTATTGTTAAGGTGTGGCTCATGCTACTCAAAACAAATTTATTCTAAAGGACCACGGCTGCCGGGAGAACTGGGGCCTGAGACTACTTGAAATTTGCTAATCACATCTGGTTTAGCTTTAGACATTTTCTGGGGTTTTGCCAGCAGCCACGACATTTTAATGGCTACAATAAACCTCAAAGCCTCATCAAATCTTTGCTGTATGTGTGAAAATTATGTCCTCTTCAATTAAACATTCAATCGAGGCTCACACCAAGGCATTATGGAAACAGAGGTGAAACCTGAATGAGAACATGAGATGAAACGGACCGCCACGACTCTGGCCATCTTGCCAGATGGCATTTAGAAGAAAAAGAAATTCATTAGAGAACCAACGGTCTGTATTTTCTTTAAATATTTACTAGGTACCTTTCATGTGTGAAAAACACTGGCATCCCTAAAGATTAGCAGGGCATTTTTGTTTAAATATTCAATGTGTGTGGGGAGCCCCAGTTTCCTCCATCGCCCTTATGGTACCTCGTGTCCTTTGGTTAAATCACTGAGGCGATGCTCACTTTTCCTTCCTAAGGCAGCTCCTCCAACTTCAGAAGCTTGGTATTTCCTTAAAATTGACTGAGGAAAGTGTCAGTTGAGTACTGAGAGATCTGGAATGACAGCTAGGATCTCCCTGGAGAAAATAAGGTATACCAAAGTGAGGAGCTTTGGGGGAACCCCTGCCTGTCCACTGTCTTCCTAATTCACTCTTCTCATCCCTTTGTTATTTATCATCAAACACACAGGAATGTCAAAGGGAGGCAGCTGAGCCAGGATGCCTGAAAGGGGCAGCCCCTGGAAGGAAAGCAGAAGAGGAGAGATCCCACATAGATGAGGTTTCTGTTCAAAAGACTAGATGAGAGGGCAGGGTGTTACTCAGGCCGAAGGACGAAGGTTGAGCATCCAGGGACGTCCATGGAGGCAACAAACACGGGTCCTCCCTGCTGCTGCTCCCCAGGCAGCCACCCTGAGGTCTGGATGCCTGCACCCTAACTCTGCCATTGGAGATAGAAAAAACTGCTATGCGATAGCTTACTTTGCTGTATTCCAATAAGAATCAAGCTCCTCATGTTTGACAAGGATAAAACTGTCTTTTTTTTTTTTAAGGAAAGGGAAAAGAATAACCACAAGTTCACATATCACATTCCTGAACAAAGCATTCATTTGGTTCAATTCACGCTCTCAACCACATCAACAGGAGGGGGGAAAAAATCCACATGTTCCTTTAAAAATAATTTACAAGGTAAAAGTATTCACTTGTAACCGCTATCCTTATTTAAGCAAGTTTTATGCCCAAAGTAAAAACAAATGGCTTTTTCTGCCACTAGGAGCAGATCTTTCTTACTTTCCTTCCATTTCCAAGCTGTTCTCTGTCTAAGACTTAGATTTCTGAGCACTCTTTCACAATAAACATTTTTTAAATGTTTATTTTATGTCTTAGTGTAAAAATATTCCTGGTTCAAGTTCTTCATTTCCTCAAGCTCTCCTTTTGGCACTCTGGGCTCCATTTCCACATTAACACGCTCCCTAAATCCTCCGCAGAGCTCTTCAATTGGAGTTATACAAGCTCCAACGCAAGTATTTATATTCTTGGACAAGGAGATGTCTCCACAGTGAAAACACAAGGCTCTAGAAATGCCAAAGGAAAATTCCTGCCCAAGAAAGACATATTTTCACCTTTTAAAAAAGCCAAAAGGGGCTTTCAGCATTTTGCTTTGAATAATTAAAAATGTAAATTAAACTAAAATAGAATGTTTACTATGATCTTGCCATCATTATTATATATATATATATATATATATATATATATGAAGCAAATTTATAGGAACATGTGTGTGCATGTGTGTGTGTGTGTGAGAGAGAGAGAGAGACAGTGAGAGGGGGAGGGAGGAAGGGAGAAAGGCAGAAAGACGGAGAGACAAACAGACATACAGACAGAGCATAGTAAACTTGCTTAGAAAATGCATGAGTTCTAAGCAGATAGACCTGATTAGAGCTTAGCAAATCTGCTTCGCACTGGCTTTGTGAACATAACTTCTCCAAGTCTCCTTTTTTTTATATGTAAAAGAGAGTTAGTATAGTTTCTGCTTATAAGGATTGTTATAAGAATTACATGAGACAACAGTAAGCATTCCATAAAGGGTTGGTGTTATTATTATTAAAATTATATCCATTGTATGTTGGGAAATGTAGATGAAACAAGATGTAGATGTAATAAGTACTAATTAACACTAGTAAGAGAGGGATATGCAAATACGGTGCCCTGAAAGTGGGCAGAGATGGAAGGTTTCCTGAGGGCTGCAGAATACTATCACTGAACACTGCACCAATCCCATTCCATGAGCCACACATAAACAATTCTCATAAATCATTTTTAAAAAATCTTAGCTATTTTCATAATAATGGAACAGTTCCTGTTACCTTCTAGTTGCTTCTTCAGTTTTCTCAAGTCTTTTATGAGGTCTTCAAACTTGACTTGGGAAGCCAGAAAAAAATCTTGTGGTTCAGGCAGGGGGAAGACACTCTTTTCTGTTCCTGCTTCCTAAGAGATACAGTAAAGAAAAGTACAGTTTACTTCCAATTGTCACTTTCAGTTGAAATTCCAAAGCCTCTTTTATTGAATGTTTGAATAAAAGTCGTACCAATGCTCCTCTGCTATTCCTAAATTTGGACTGGTGACTTTGAAGTGCTTTCGTGTCTTTCACAATATCATTTTGGTCTTACTGGCATTTAGATTGGCTATGGCATGGGCTAGGTTCTATTTTGCCTCATGAATCAAAGAGAAAATTGTCAGGTATGTCCTGATCTTGGACACTCTATGTCCATGGAAAAAAGGCTTAGAAGGAACACATGAAAGTACTTAAACTGAAAGTCCGGGTTTGAATTGCACATGGTAGCAATTAGGTAACTCATTTTTGGGGTATGTCAATGGGTATGAATTAGAAGGTGCTGGATAAGGCGGCACTACAATGGAAGCAATGATCACCCTCCGATGCCTTTACCTACCTTCTTCTGCAGCTTAAAGCATGTGTGTATGTGTGTGATAGAATTCTTCACATATTTGTAAAAATTTTGTTTGGCCAGTCTCACCAGATATTGACCGAGGGCACAATTGAGTATAGTTTTTGACAAGCCCCACAACTCTACCTCATAGAATACCTGAGCTGAGAAACATCTTGACGGACAAAGTCTTCATCAGGCACATCAAAAGATAAGCTGAGCCTCCAATTTCTTTTCCAGTCTATCTTGCTTTTTCCTGAGTTGTTTAATGTAAGCTCCGTATCTTGCATACCTCAGACAGTCTTCAGGTCTCCCCATACAGGCAACTTTGCCAGATTTCCTTCACATTCCATCCTTCCTACTGCCATTAGGACGAGTTCCAAATGCTAAAACTGCTTTACAAGGCACTTTATGATCTGGCCTCTGTCTACATCTCCAGCATTGTTTCTACCTTCCTCCAGTCTATAACTCCCCTCCCCAAATTTAATGAAATAATAGAACAGGCCACAGCCTCTTGCCTCTGGGCTTTTGTAAAACTTTTACCTGAAACTGTCCTTTTCTAACCTTTCCCTGGAACATCCTCACACCTCTTTGTTCATATTTGTCCTTCAAGTCTCAAAACAGATGTCACTCTCTCAGAGATTTCCCCTAAGTCCCAGCAATCAACTCTTGGGTGTTTCCAAGAGGCCCTCCTACTTACTATTATTACAGCACTTATCACCATTAATTAACAAATTGCCATGTTAGCTTCCATGTCTTCCCCACTAGAAAGGAAGGCAGGAACAGTGTCTTGTTCTCAGTATGGAACATAGCCTCTGGCATGCCAATACATGTTAGGAACATCACAGAGATGCATAAAACACTGTTCTGGGAAATTTATATCTTTAGCAGGAGACACCTAACTTACTTTCATAGTTTCTTGTGGTTTCTGGGATTCCTTGGGCCCTTTCCTTTCCTTTAAGACCTTTAGCTTTACGTGGAATGCCAGCAGAAGGTGGTTTTCCTCATTTGATAAGAACATTTTACATGATCAACACACTTGTTTTCATCTTCCTATACTTATTTTAGTACTTTAAAAAACCATGGAGGCAGTATCTAGTCTGAGTACTCAGATGAAGTGACATCTAAGATGCTTGCCACAAAGCGCCAAGATGATCTACCCTGGAAGAACTCATAAGTAATATCTCTTTCTCTTTTCCAAAAGTTTTTATCAGACTCAGTCCAGCTTCATTTTTTTTTTTAATCGAGAAAAAGAGAAAATGGCACTGAGCAAACCAGCCTGGTGGTAGGTCTTGTGAAAGTTGCTCAATTAGGGTTGAAAAGACATGGCTCTTCATGGGCTTCTTTAAACTTCACAGACCTAGACTTGGACCCAAAACCTGGCATGAGTGGGAGAGAGCCTGGAACAGAAGTCACCTTTCTTCACTTAATTGCTCATCACCACTAACCACAAAAATCATCACTTAATGCTCATAGATGGGGAGGAGGGTTTAATAAATCACATAATTCTACACTCTTGTTGAGTGAAATGCGTTTTGCACAGCGAAAACTAGGAGAAGACCACACAGATGTTGACTTATTATTTTTTCTAAACTGGGCCATTCTGAGTTTGAAACCATTCTCATGGTAATATTTCCTTCTGCGAAGCTGATTCCACTGAGTTCAGCTCTCTTCAGTGAGTCATATCATAAGCAAATTTCAGCCTTCCTACACAATGCATCTGACTTGGTTGAGGCCGACACCATGAGGTAAATTTGCTCATGTCAACCTTGGATTAGAAATGCCACACTCAAAATGCTTCTGCCATAACTTCTACTGCTGCTAGAATTTGGGGTATTCTAATTCTAGAATTGGGTATAAAAAGGTCCAAAGATCAACACACCTGCCCCAACTCCCCTCAAAAATGGCTTTGACCTCCTCGTAACTACTTCACTACAGATGCCTTTTATTACATTGTTGTTGATATTTGCAGTATATGCAACTCAGCAAGTATTAATCAGGCACCTACATTACAGGCACTAAAAAAGAGACAACAATGAGTTCTGGATCTCAGCGAGCAATGCCAGGATAATGGGTAGTTGCTCATTGATACCTATAGATAAGGCAGAAAACAAATTTTGAGAGAGTCATTCAAACAAATTGTTCCCAGGTTTCAAAGGAGTAAAAGATGTGGAACTGAGCAAAACATTCATGGAAGTAGGATCATGTAAGACTGCACTATTTTTTATTACATCCTTTTTTTTCCTTTTACAGAAGTGACATGTGCTCATTATGTTTAGTAATAAAAAAAAAGGAGAAAGTAAAAATCTCTTATAATTCTACTACCCAGAAATAACCAAACATTTTAATACATATCTTTCCAGGTGTTTGTGTGTATTTATATTTACATATTTGAGATTACACTATATACTATTTTAAACATGTTTATAATTTTAAAAAGCAGATCAAGAACACTTTCCAATTCCACTAAAAATTCTCTTATACAGTTTCCATGGCAGTCTATTATTCCACTTTATGACTCTAGCATAATTTATTTGACCTTAGTTTGTATCTTTGGACACTTACTAAAAATTCTGCAATATTTTGTTATAAATTATTTTAAATAACAGTGATACATGTCCTTATTTTTCATTAGGAAAAAAATCCCTAGAAATATTATGCAATTTTCTAAGGCTTAGGAACAAAAAGGTCAAAGCCTTGCTATCCCATTCAGCACATTTGCATGAATCAGAAAAAGGCGTCTCTGAATGTAAGCACAGTTCCATGGACAAACAGCTTGACAAGCACACGACATGTAAAGTTTTTTTCAAGGTGCCCTTCATAGGACATAGTTTGATGAATCCAAGGCAGACTAGATAAAGGTCTCATTTGACCTAGAGATCTCAAACAGAGAAGAAAGAAATCAGTCAACCATTCATGACAGGCCTGAGAAAGGTTTGATCTGTATATATTACTAATGCTATTCTAGGTATCTAGTTTGCAATTCATATATCCTATTTGTCTTCTGTAGGTACCTGCAGTCTCTTTGCCACTTATTTTTTTTAACAGGAAGGGACAAGTTGACTTTTCTTGTTGATTCTGAATATATTTATATATATATAATATATAGTTAAGTTAGAAGCTTTATCCAAAAAACATCTTTTATTATTTTAAAAGAGTACTTATAAGGGAAAAAAGAGCTTTATTAAAAGGCTAATGACAAGGACAGTTCCATTTAGGGAGAACATCAGATATAAAAACACATCAGTAAGAAGGCACAGGGTGTGTTTGGAAAACATCAAGTCTTGAGTTGAATCACAGAATGTGCGTAGAGGGAAAGTAATAAAAGTCTGGTTGTAAAAGACTGGAATTAAATTGGATAGAGTCTTAATTCACTTGAAAAATGGGAGCTATTTAGTTTTTGAGTAAAAATGTGAAGTGATCAGAACTATAAAATGTAATCAGGCCACAGGGTGTGGGAGGGGCTAGAATGGGAGTGACCAGAGGTGGGGAGGCCAGCTGGGAAGCAGGCGAAATTTCCGAGGTGAGTTATCTTAAAGCCTGAAGGAGCAGGGGTCAGTTGGCATTACACACACACACACACACACACACACACACACATACACCCGCCCCCCCTACTCACCCACCCACAGAAAACAGGGAATAACATGACAAAAATTTGCCTGACGGACAGAGATCAACCAAAGAGATGCACAGCTTCATGTCTAAATGACAAAACATTATAATATCCTTAACAGAAACAGAGAAGAAGTTGGGGGTGGGGTGGGACCAGAATCCGGTTGTACTTAGATATACTGAGAACAGTTAAGTAAATCCACCTGGAGGGCAGGAGAAATAACTATAAACCTCATCAGTACTTAGCTTATCTTTTGGATGAAATCGCAGGCCTTTAAAAAAAAAAAATGAGGCCCTGGAATCTTTCCTTTTCTTCCCTCAGAACCTAGGAAAAGCTTTGCTGACATGGATAGTTAAGCAGGAGTCCTGAGAACATTTTCCTGAGACTTTTTCCATTCATATTGATCGCTAAATTTGTCAGCAACTTACAACAGTACCTCTTTCTTCTCAAAGTTAGGACTCCTTGTTCTCCACTTAATGAGAAGGAATAAAAACAGAGAAAATTGTGCTCAGGTAGATTCTCACAGAAAATTTTATTTCTAATTGCAAATGCAACTTAAGCAAAGAGGAAGGATTTCAGATTCCATATCTTCACCTTGTTCACAGATGAACATTACTGATAATGTGGTGGGTATTACTGAATATTAACTTCCTAAATGTTGGTCTGCCTCCCAGAATCTAGTTTCAAACATAACCAATTACTGGATGGCTATAGATTTCACAAAGGCCCTGACAATCTGGTCAGAAGGCACTGAGATAACCTGAGGTCTCTCTGAAGTGTGTCATGTAGTGGATTGGGAGTCAGTAGATTTGTACCACGAATAATGCTTCCCTTTACAAGAGTCAACTAAACTACTTTGCTTCAGTGTTTCCATCTGTAAACCAAGGAGGCTGGATAGCTCTCAAATTCTATGTTGGACTTGAAATTCATCCATCCATCCATCATCCAATTTCTGAATGCCAACAATGTGTAACAGTTGAAACCCCATTAGTGTAGTTTTCCACATAATGCCATTTCTTACCTGATCATAGTAACGCAGGTAATATTTCACGACATAGTCCACCAGATTAATCCCATTATCCTAGGTTTAAAAGAGAAGCTTAAATGAAAATCATTCACATGAGACTTTGCTGTATTATACAGTTGAGAGCCAAAATCTCAGTTTGTGACCCTAACACATACTTTCAGTTTGTGCTACCTGGTACTAGTTCTGATTGAGACTAGTAAGATTTCCCTCCTTGTCTCATCCTTTTTTTCTTAAGGGCATCCATACAAAGAAATGACACTACACTACTCTTTGTGTGATTAAAAAAAAAATAGTAATAATAATCCATAAGACCTCTGAAGTAATGGCTAGAACAGACAAACAAACAATATAAACAAAACACTGTCTCTATATATTCTGGTATAAAGCCAAGACAGGAGGGGACAGGGGAGTGCTAAAGGGAACCAGGGACTAGGACAGAAAACCATCCCTCTCTTCCCACCTTTCAAAAGATGTGTGCTCTTAATGGCGTGAAAAACAATCAGGACAGCTTAAAAGGAATGCAGTGCCACTTTATGACCCTGGCAGGCAAGGAGTGAGCAGGCCCTCCCACAAAGCAGCCTTTGAGTCTTGTTCACATGGGTCTAATTCCAATTTGCCTGTGTGTTTCCCCTCCTTCCACTCCTGCTGCCCCCGATGGGATGCCTAGGTATGGGCCGGCTGTTTCTAAAGAGGTGGCTCTGCAGGGGTGTGGAGCCAAATGATAATCAGGCTCAGAGAGTTTGACAGTAGACATCCCGCCCAACTGTTGTGGGCAAAAGAATAATTCAAATGCTCTGGTCAATTGGTGATTCAACATTGTTCCATTAGCAGGAATATGTAAGTTACAAGGCTTGAACACTAAATTCAAGCCTTGTATCACATGTTATCTGTTTTATTCTTTCATTACAGTTCAACACCCAACTGTGTATTTTAGAGCAAACAAATATTGGGAATTTTGTCGTACAAATAAGATGAAACAAAAACCATATCATTTTTCAAAAGTTAAAAGAAAGCAAAGGTAAAATATATTGTTAGAGGGAGGACAGAGATAAATAGAGCAATCAAAAATATTTTGTCTTTTTTTAAATTAAAGGTATAAAAGAAAAATAATGGCAGATCATAGACATTCATTATGAAACAAATAAATACCCGACTTTTGACGTCCTTGAGTTTGGGCAGAATTTCTAAGCTATATCCATCTGCTTGTCCCCGAGTCCTATTTCCTCCATTCATATAATTTCCAAAAGCCAGAATGAGAGCCAAAATATCCTTCACACTCTTCATGTGCAGTAAGCCCTGCGACAGCAAACACCAATTATCATGGAGCTGAACCCCAAATACACCGATGTTCATTCAACAACAAATATTCGTCCTTTACTTTAGGGAAAAGAAAGCCAAATGCAGCCCCAGGCTGACTTCTGCTCCTGACTTTTAGGGTGCTATTAGAGGATATATATTACACTTTGGTAATATGTATGCATTCCTTATTGAAATCTTTTATATTTGAGAAAGAAAAAAACCATGCCTTCAGATAAGCGACTCAATACCACAGGATTCGTGGAGAGGATTATGTTCTTAAGGATGCTGGTCATTGTGAGAAAAAGCCGAGCACTAGAATTTAACTTTATAATGAATACCAGTGTTGTAAAGCCAACAAAAATTTATTTGCTCATCATTCATTGTAATAATCATTTATGTCATATGTCAAATCTCTAGAATCTTTTTTATTTCACTATGTAGCACATTTCAGATGATCAAATTCATGGGTCTACAGCAAAACCCCTTTTGTAATCCAGACAGCTGAGTGAAAAACAAACTATATTACTTGGGTTGGCGTTATATGTCTAGTATGTACATTGGAAGGTATCTGGAATATTTGAGAAGAAATCTGTAAAAATGTCATTTCCCCCTTTTCTCCTTTTCTCTCCCTCTTTCCCTCCCCTGCCCCCACCTCATCCGCATGCACACACCCCCTCACACTTAAGCAGGATAATCATCATAGCTCTACTTAGAAAAATATACAAGGTTTTGGCAAAGGAACTCTAGTCGATCTCTCCCACTTCCCTCTTCATCTTTTACTCCTAATAAGGGCAAAGTTATCTTTTTAAATCAGACAGCAAACCTACCTTAGAAGCTCGTGTAATGATCTCCACCTTTCGGTGCAAGGAGGTGATACCCTCGGAAAAGACAGATCGGAAGATGATGCACTGGGCACGTTCAGCAAAATTAGGGATCTGGGCTAACTCATGCAAAAATCTGTAGAAATTAAGAAGGAATCATCTAGCTTCGTATAAAATCACAAGGAAAGTGAAAAGACAGCTGAGAAAGATCCCCCATGAGAGCATTCCTTCTTTGACAATGTCAACTTAACAATTTTAAAAGGTATCAGGCTGACTGACTGTGTTCTACTGTTGACAACAAAGCCACTTTTTTATGGGTTTCTATGATGGTAAACAAATGCATGGTGTATAAATTACTTTAGGAAGAGAAAGTTAATGCAGCTATACCAAACCACAAGTTATCTCCTGCCACCCAAATAGGGGACTGAACCCAAATGAGAAGTGCTACTCTTTAGTGTATGAGAAAAAGTACACAGTACACTCCTTTTACAATGCAGTCTTCTCTAAAGATATATGTGTACAGGCCGAGTAAAGTGAAGACTGGAGGTAAATGTCTGTAGACAAGTGATAAAAAGTCTCTTACTGAAGTGAGATAACTATTATCTTCTGCTCAGTGAATTAGGTAATAGACGATAATGTTCCCTCTTCTATGGATACTTGTTTACTTTTCCACATCATCTTACCTATATAAACAGAGCTCAAGCTTCATACCTGGAACAAAGCAGCTACTCATTAAGTGGACACAATTTAAAACTTCTTTTTTTTTAATTAATTAATTTATTTTTTCAAATACATTTGTCTCTGCCTACCCCCCACCACTTTCCCTTGCCTCCGCCCTCCCTCAACTCTTCCCCTTTGGTTTTGTCCATGAGTCCTTGCTATATGGTCCTTGACTTTCCCCTTCCCTTCCTTTTCCCCCGCCCTCCCTCCCTCCTTCCCTCTTGTTTCTGTTGGTTTCTTCTCCTTTCAGTGTTGCTGGTCTTATTTTCCTTGCATTTTGTATTGTTGGTTAGGTTCCACTTATAGGTGAGATCATATGGTATTTGCCTTTCGCCCCCTGACTTATTTCGCTTAGCATAATGCTCTCGGGTTCCACCCATGCTGTCGTGAAGTTTAGTAGTTCTTTTTTTCTTTCTGATGACAAGGCAGATCTTAATTGCTAAAGGTGAGAACCAAGCTACCCACAAAAGCTCACTGTCTGAGCAGTTGGGCACTGCTGCCCTTTGCAAAATTAAGTTGGAAGAGCTACCCACTCTTCAGGCCAACCACTAGAGGAAGGGATATAAAATTAAAATGAGTGGGAAGAGTTGGACATGAATTCAGAAAAGGAGAGAATCCACTAACAGCAATTAAATCCATTTGGGGTTGGAATGATTATTACCTGACATTTTTGAAAGCCTCAGTCTACTCATCACATCATACTCTGATATTTTGCAATCTCTCCCCAAGAATGCTTTTCTGAAGGAGCAAAGCTGGAACCTCCTTCTTTCCAAACACACCCAAAGAAATTCCCTTAACTTATACTCTGCACCTCTTTTACTTTATTTTAGGAAACTATGGGTTTTAATAAAATTCTAATTATCAGCTGTTGTTCTTATTGATCCCACAACCAGGTGATATTTTTTTCTTTTAATGACACTGAGATGAAGCAAAGAATACCCATAAAGAAACCACACCTTTGTTTGAAAGTTTTGTAATGGATAACTAGGAAAGCTGTGTAATGGGATATAAAAGCAGAAACCCATAGGAATTCTGAATTAGGACAAGATGAAAAATTACATTTTTATGTAAACTGTTTCTTTATAAAATTGATATTAAATCATTGATTCATTTACAATGGGAATAAGGGGTACCACCAGTTTTCACAAATACGAGCAGTAAAAAGCTTGTGGGAAAGGGGGCATTTGGTCCCGTGGTGAGTCTTGAGGAATTTATTTACCCAATGCTGCTGAGAGCTACCTCAGGGGACGTGCCCTGCATTTCTCTTATTCCAAATGTGACCATGACACTCCAGTCCCCAAGTAGGACTCAGATTCCTAGACCATGCACACTTCCTAGAGTAAATGAACACATGAGTGAAGTATTTATAGAAACTGTGTGAGAGAATATACTGAGAAACACTTCAACTCAACAAGGACATAGATGAAAAGGAGGAAATACTTAATGAACAATTACTTATAATTACTCTCATAACAGGAGGTTTAGGACCAACATGGGGGGAAATGCCCATAGGATCACCAGCTTATGTTACCCAAGAAAGAGTAAAATAGAGCTGCAAGGCTCTCTAGGATTAGACGCTCCCTGGGCTCAGGGCCTGTGATAGGACAGCTGACGGAATCTTAGAGCTAAAGTCCTGTGCATGGAAAAGGGCCTGAAACATCTACCCTGAGCTGGGCGGGAAAGGGAAATTTGGGAATTTTACATGATTTTGGGATAGAAGTGTAGAGAATGTGTCAGGGAAAATGAATGCCAGAACATCAGTGACCAAGACTGATTTTGGTTAGTCCTTTAGACACATATGAAGCATATACACTGTCAGGCAGCATGCTAAGACCCGCAAACAGAATTTAACATATCCACAGTTCCTTCTTGATAACCTGAGAAATAAATCAACAATCACCATGGAGTGCGACACGTGCTATCAGTGATGGGACCTATAACAGGAGCTATGGAAGCCACACATAGGAAGTCAGAGCCATGGAGGGTCAGTGTCAGGTACGGTTTCCTGGAGCTCTCTGGCACTTGCGGGATGCAGGAGACTGCCAGGCAGAGCCTAGATGGTTTAAATAATATTTGCGGGGGAGGTGAGTAGGAGTCACATGCTAAAATGGGCTTGGTGTTCTAAAGACTTCAAACTTTTTTCTAAGTGAATCCTTTCACTTAGAAATCACTTAGAGAAGTGATCCTTTCAGCTTTTTGTTTTAGAAAAGTCACCATGGCCGTGGCTTGGCCAATTGACTGCAGGTGAGAACAGACGTGAGGCTGGGAGACCTGTACAGCCATAGCCGCAATATTCTAAGAGGGAAGGTAAGAGGGCCTGCAGTGTGAACAGAGAGGGCAAAAGGATGAGGAAGTTACTAAGGCAGCAAGAACCAAAGTTAACTGACCAATCCCAAAGGATTTTGAGTAGCATGCCAAATGACTTGTAGGTTTTTGACTTGGAAACCTGGTGGAATGTGAAGATATAATGAAGAAGCAAATTTGGAATAGAATGATTTTATGTCACGTTCTGCCCAAAAATAGCCATGCAGAGCCTTCAGGAAGAGCATCATACTCCTTTCCCATTCATCTGGGAAAATATAAGAAGTATACATAACTTCAAAGGCTATGAAGCAAGGGTCTGATAAATATCTTATCCCCCAACTGTGTTCTACTCACTAACCATAAGAAATCTTGGTTTTGGACACTGGGCCTTGGTGTTTAAGGGTATTTATAGATTGATTCCCTTTGGACTAGTCCAACTTCATACCCTAGGGCCAGTAATAGGACTAAACACTCCCCGAAGAAGCCACAAACCAGGGATCTTTCCTTTCTTTCTCTAAGGCAGGCTAATTTTCCCAGGAACTGCTATCATTTCAGCCTGTATACAGGAGGGAAGTTCTACACCTCGTATCATGTGGGTTACATATCCAGAGAGGCAACTCAGCTGACAGGTGCAGTGACACCCTGTGGTCCATTGATTTTAAGGAATTAACATTTGGTTATGATTCCCTAAGCCACCGAGTGGTATTATCTCAGATGTGTGTGCACATAAGAACTGTGTACAACATTTCATGTTGTAACCTGTGTTCTTCCATATAGGTCTACACTCACAGAGCCTTGTTTCAGACATCAATGTGTCTTCTTTGTGGGAGCTCTAGGTCAGGAGAGGGCCTTGTGGAGCATTCCAATAGGCTGTCTATGGTGTCCTCACTCTAGGCCACAAAGAACTTGTGTCAGCCAAATCAAACCCAACAGAGCTGCCTCGCCACCAGCCCAAGGCAGAGTGTGCAGAGTGGAGGGCCATCTCTAAAGGGAGTGGCTCTCAGACAGCCTGGTCCCAGGCAGATGACACCGTTATGGGAAATGGCTTTCTAAAACGGGTACTGAGATGCATGGATGCTGATGAGGTGAGTGATGAGGCCAGCCTCTCCATGCTGTGATTTATAGGACTGGGCACCACAGGATTTTTAGGAAATTGTAATGCCCAAACTATAAATGATTCACATTTTCCAGTATGTAAAACATGCACATAGTCAACTAACTTGGAGCTAATGGCAAAGAAATTGTCAGAAAATCAGACTCTGGCACAATCAAACAAGTGTTGTGCTGTGCAGGAGATCAAAAGCAAAGGTGAAATACACTCAGGCCCGAAGTCCCGGCCATGCTGCGTCTCACGCTCCAGCAACTGAGCCCAGGCACATCATCTCGCCAGGACAGCACAGCAGGCCTCTTTGTTGTCAGTACAACTTAGCATGTTCAGGAAGCTGTTGTAATGACTATTTACAAGCTTTAAAAATGCTCTTCTATCTATATCATCAGTAGAGAAGGCAGGAATAGTAAGTTATTTGCTAATTACCTGCCACCATTACTCTGTGTCCTGGCAATTAACCTTGAAAAAGAATGCTGGAAAAACATTAACACAAAAGGAAAAAGAGAATACTTCCAGTAGCAGAAACCCGCCATTCAATTTCACTGGGTTGGCAATTGCGGTAGCTTAGAGCAGGGGTTGCAAATTGTAGCCCACAGGCCAATTCAGCCTACTACTTGTTTTGTATGGCCCATCAACTAACTACGAATGGTTTTAACATTTTTTTCAGGTGTTTTGTTTGTTTGTTTGTTTGTTTGTTTGTTTTATTTAATGATTTTTGAGAAAGAGAGAGATATATGTTGTTCCACTTATTTGTATATTCACTGGTTGATTCTTGTGTGTGCCCTTACTGGGGATCGGACCTACAATGTTGGTGTATCAGCACAATGCTCTAACCAACTGAGCCTGGTTTAAACCTTTTTTAAATGGTGGGAAAAAAATCAGTAGAAGGTTAACATTTCATTACATGTAAAATGAAGTTTTAATTTCAGCATCCCTAAGTAAAATTGTATTGGGCCACAGTCATACCATTTGTTTATGCATCAACTGTAGTTGTTTTTGCACTACACACAGCAGACTTCCATAGTTCAAACAGGTCAGATGGCACTGAAAACCTAACTGAAGTACTTACTGTCTGGTCCTCTACAGGAAAAGCTGGCTGACTCTAGGCTTAGAGTAACATTGCTCAACATGGCACAGTTGGCACTCCCTAAAGGCTTGATATGTCCTATTGCCCCTGTTAAGGACTGAATGTGCTCCCACCCCCGATCCACATGCTGAAATCCTAACCCCTCTGTGATTATATTAGGAGGTAGGGCCTATGAGAGATAATTAGGTCACGAGGGTGGAACCCTCATGAGTGGGATTAGTGCACTTAGGAAAAGAGACACAAGAGCTTGTTTCCTCTTTTTGCTTTTGGCCATGTGAGGATACAAAGAGAAGTCAGCAGTCTGCAACCTGCAAGAGAACTCTCGCCACGACCTGACCATCTTTGCACCCTGATCTGAGACTTCCAGCCTCCAGAACTGTGAGAAATAAACTCCTGTTGTTTATCAGTCAACCAGTTTAGGGTATTTTGTTATAGCAGCCCAGACAGTCTTCAAATATTCCGCATGTCCTCATTAGTGTCTAAATATTCCACTATTAGTCACTTAATTTTTAGTAACTAGCTCATCAGTGAGGATTAATTTATTGTATTAAGGAAACATGACTTGGAATGGACCACAGAATCAGCGTGGGGGGTGCTGGTAAGGAAGACGGCTCACGCTGCTTGAGCAGAAGGGCTGTGGAACTTCATTTGCACTGATTCACAACATTTCCAGGCTTCATAAACTAACGATGGGGCAGGGTGACCCATGCTACAGGTGAGAAGCCATCACTGAAGCTTCCCAACATTATCATGAAGGTTTATCAGTTACTGAGTAAGCCTAGAAATCCCCCACCCAGCCATTTAGAGGTGAGAGAATGTACCTCACCCAAGGGGAGAGGTGCATTCTAGAGGATCCAAGCACAAGGCAGGAGGGTTTCTGTACAAGCCACAGAACCTTGAATGTCTGTAGGGCTGACTTGTCACCCTCAACTTGATCACTCAGTTTTCTCTTTTGTTTCCTACCCTTGCTTCCCCTCTAGACTGAGAAGGGTGGTGTGAATTGGACATGAAGCACTCAAGACAGCAACAGGAAAAGGGGCCCTCTGTCTACTCCAGGCCCCATTCCACATTCTCACAGAGTCCTGGGTGGGGCCTGGTGGCTGCAGAGCCACAGAAGCTTATGTGTGGTTTGCAGACCCTAAAAGCCCAGCCAAGGACAAGAGTCACTCAGTTACACATGAGAGCTCTGGGTTTTCAAAGGATGTGGAATGACACCCCAATCTATAAAGCAAACAATTCTAGATAGTGAATGGAGGGAAGAGCACATGCCAAGAAAAGATGAAAAAGTCACATGTAAATTGGGCAGAGCAGGTGGAGAAACTTGGGGAAAAGCTGGCACCTTCAGGCTACATTTGCTGGATACGACACTTAGGAAAATCAATTTCAGTGCTGTGCTCTGACATCTTTTTAACTGCATCTGCAGGACCTTAAACAGAGCAATGACTTACTCCTTCCTCAGTTACCCTTTTGGCCAGAATGTTTAGTCTAGGAGGAATTAATAAGTTGCTAGAACAAGGAAGGGGAGTCACGAGGGATGGGGAAAAGGGTTGAGAAATAGTCTCTCCAGCAGAGCAAATCTTGTGGCTGCTTTTCCCAGCAGTGAGGTCATTCTGCTACATGCAGTAGGTCACAGGAGTGATGGAGCTGAGACTTAGCTCACTGCATGATTTGAAGGTGATTATTCAGAGCTGGGATACAGGAGGATAGAGACTGTACTTTTGACCCAACAGAAAAGTGTTCAAGCATCCTTACTGCTCAGGTTTATCCAGCAGCTTCAGTTCTTCTTCTTTGGATGTTTCATAATACTTTCTTATTTTAACCAATTCATCCTCTTGGGCTCTCTGTATTCAAAAAGAAGCCAAACAAAACACACACACACACACAGAGCAATGAGAATGTGTCTGAAGCAGTAATTTTCAACCTTTTTCATCTCATGGCACATATAAACTAATTACTAAAATTCTGTGGCGCACCAAAACATATTTTTTGCTAATCTAACAAAAAATAGGTATAACTTTGATTCATTCACACCAGATGGTTATTATTGTGTTGGCTATTGTCATATTTTCATTTGACAATCTAAGGAAAACGAGGTCAGTGCCCCAAACTAAAAAGTCAGGTATTGCATGTTTTAAAAACTCTTTTGTGGCACCACAGTGTGCCATGGCATGCCAGTTGAAATTCGTTGGTTTAAAGCAATGTGTCTCAAAGTGTGGTCTTTGAACCAACAGCATCAGTATCACCTGTCACTAATTAGAAGTGCAAGATTGTGGCCCTACCTCAGATATAGGAAATTCCAAAGGCAGAGCCCAGCAAACAGCCCAAGTGATTCTGGTGCATGCTAGTGTTTGAGAATTCCTGGCTAATGCAAACAGTCATAACAAGTCGCATGTGCTGGATACAGAAGCCAGGGCATTAGGTTGCTACCTCTGAAACCTCCATTTGCCTGTAAGGAGGAACGGGTCCAATTGTTCTTAGCACTTGCTTCTTGACCCTCAACAGCCCTCCTAACGTAGGTTGGCTGCTTACTTTTTTATTTCTAATCACTGTCTTCTCTTTTTCTAAATTTTGTAAGCATTCCCCCTGTCTATACCACTTATTTTAGCATTTGATCACATACTTGTTCAGCTTCTCCAGCTGTTCCAGTTGCATGCCGCTTACCTCTACTGTGAGCAAACAAGTACTGGCAGTGTACAAAGTCCTAAGTACATGGTAACAACAAAAAGCATCCAGAAGGCACTTTGCCTTTTACGAAGTCCTTCAACATCAATTATTGTATCTTCATTTTACAGATGATTCTGCCAAGGCTTACTCTAAGTACCTGGCAAAGGACCTGACTCAGAATCTTTCTCCAGTGATATCGTACTGCCCTCCAGGTACTAAGAAAATGCACCATCAGCTCCTGATGGCCTTCTTGTCGATTAGTGAAAGCCTTACTGATAAAAACATCAGAACTTCCCACCCAGTAGTACTAAAGACCTCCTGATTTATATAAAGGATGTGAAAATGTATAGGGAACTGTCAATGCGACAAGGCTGGATTATTGCACTATAACAATGTTCTGTAAGAAACTGAAGGTCCTAGGGTACATAAGTATTCAAAGTAATCATTTTTTGAGCTCAGTGACTATTCATATTATCGAGCTCCAGGCAGCTTCTGGGAAATACCATTACTTCAGTAAAGAGAATCTGATTCAATCTATTCAAATTTCAAATACTAACAGAGTCAGTGAACAAGAACAGTTAACAATTATGGGAATTCTGACTCTCCTGTGCCAGCTTCTCAAGAGAGCCTGCCATTGTGCTCGCTATTTCCACATATAACCCAAATTTAAAGACCATATGTGTGCAGAGTGCTGTATTGTTCAAAAACAATACATTGTTACTGATACATACATTGAATTCTTTTAATACTTCTGAAAAATCAGATAGAGGCCATTATAATTCCTATTGTGTTGATAATCAGACAGGCTTAAGGAGTTTAACTGGCCTAAAGTCATTCAGCAGCCAATGATAGAGCTGGACCTGTCTGATACCAAATCTAAAACGCATACTTGCCATCCTGTACTACTCCCCAGACTCAACACCATCAGTTCATTTGCACTAAGAATAATTATCCCAGCTGCTATTGGCATTTCCATTCCTCAAAGAAAGACACTGGTGTATGCCAACATTAAGTCAGTAGCTTACCCTCCGTAACTCTGATAGTAAGCTCTAGGGCTGACTTCTGTGGCAAAGAAGTGGTTTCTACCTTGAACCACACTCCCTTGCAGGTGTGCAAACAAATCTACTAACTCAGATACCACAGTGGGGGTGAGAAAGCAAGTGCTTTTCTTATATCTGCTCTTAACTGAGCTTGCATTTCTGTGCCTTAATCTCATTCATGCTATATCTAAATCCTTACGGCCAAAGAACATGAATGAATGAATCAGTGATTTTTTCATAAGGAAGGAGACACATATAACTTTTTTTTAGACCTTAACATTTCTTAAAACCTCACCCAAGGATATGTTTATTGACTTTAGAGAGAGAAGGGTAGGGGAGGAGAGAGATACATCGATGTGAGAGAGAAACATCGACTGGCCTGGACAACTGGAGACTGAATCTGCAACCCAGGCATGTGCCCTGATTGGGAATCAACCTTTTGGTGTACAGGATGATGCTCCAACCAACTAAACCACCTGGCCAGGGATAGGCCTTGGCATTTTTTTCAGTTAATAAAGACATGAAAATATGGAAACTCTGGCTCTGTATGTCTTTGATACTCACGTTTTCATATAATGCCGCCAGGGTCTCCAGATCAACCACAGAGTCATCAACACTGAAAATGGCTGCCAAGCACCCAAAAAGAGAGAGAAAAAAGAATAAAAGGTTTGATTAGACTCCCCCATACTAACATTTACTCCACATCTGGCTTCCAAGTATTATAATATTGTGCTTTCTCCTGCAAGTTGTGTCTTAGCATGTTCCTGTCCCTCTCCTTTTGCACAAGGGGGCTCTAATGACAGAAACCAAAATGGTTGGTTGCTATTGCTGGCCTGAGCCTTGGCCTCGCCTGGTTTAATCCCCCAAGCTCTGCGTCCTTTCTGCAGTTTAATTTAGGCTCCACAGGACAAGTGTATATGCTTTAAAACTAAATCAGGTTGTGGGTTTGAAGCACGATTTTAAGTCTTTCTTCCCGGCTGGTAATTGAAGAGATTTAGTACCTAATGCACAAGAACTGACTCTTGCCCATTACAGGAAGAAAGAGAGAAAAAAAGACAATGTTGGCAAATTAAATGAATTCAGGCACATGATTTCAGGCACTTTTCCATGGCCACTGCAAACATCTTGTTTGGATTAAAAAGACAAGAAAAAACAATAATTGCATCAATGGCAAATTAAGATTATGGAAACCTCCCAAGAGTCAGTCTTAAGGCAAATTCTCATTCCCATGGGTTTATCAGGATTCTACTTGTTGTTCTGTATCTTAAATAAGTCACTTGGCTGTTAACAAATATGCTGATGATTTCAAGTAGAGAGATTCCTTCCCATATATGCCAGGATGCAAACAATGAATTTAAAGCCTTAATGGATTTGGCAATCAAAGTGTTTGAAATAGGCTGCTCCACATCTTTAAATAATTATTCAAAACTAATAAGGTTTGTTCCCTCAACCCCACCTCCCTTCTCTGACTTTACATTGTGAAATTAACCAGCACGCTAGTAAATTTTCTCCGTGGCAGGCTAATTAATTTTATTAAACCAACCAGAGATATTTAGAATGCCTTAAAATTCTGCTCGTCAACCATTATTCTGTTCATTGGCATTACACCATGGTTTCAGAGAAGGTAGGGATCAAGGTAAAGGGCAGGTTGCTTTCAAATTGTTTTGCTTCTTCTGCAGTTTAGAATCCTATGAACCCCTTTGCACAATTTTAACAAAGGTAATTAACTCAGCTGAGATCATGTAACTTCACAGAACACCAAAAAAGGTACTTAAAATTCCTTTATAGGCCATGTTCTCTAACTTAGGAGTTAATCGGCAAGCTATTCCTACGTACATGGGGTAGTGAGAAAAGAAGAGGTTAACATGCTAGTGACAAAGTCAGTCATCTCAGATTCTACCAAGACAAAGAAAAATTACACTTCTGAAAAAGCCAGTCTGAAACCACAAAAGACAAATGTAGTTTGAGGGGAAAAAATAAGTGAAAGGCTGTCTCCTCCCACGACTGTTATTTTGTACATGGTGATAATATGAATTCACTAATTTATTAGATAGACTAGGCACTTTAGCATGTCTGTTGCTTTAAAAAATAGAAACTGACCAGGAATAATGTGCATTTTATGTAAATCCCAGTCTTTTCCTACAAAAAGTCAGCCATCAGGAATGCAATGAGAAAAGGTAAAATATAAATAATTTATCAGAAATGTTCACTTCTAATTATACATCCTAGGTACTATCTATGAACTATAAACTTAGGTATGATTGAGTAACCTTAACTAATGAGAAAGAGAATGCCTGCACATTCCTTTTCCTAGAGAGTAAATATTTGGTTATTAAAAGTCGGTCACTTTGTGATTCTGGCAGATAAAATTGTCTGAGCTTCAGCATATCCATAAAACAGGTGTAATGGTCCTTACTGAAAATATTAAGAGAGGTAATGAGTATGCTTGGCATAGCACCTAGAACATGGTATAAACTCAAAGTGGTACCTATGAACTATGTCTATTATGATTTTAAATATATATATTGTTAATGTGTTTTAATGTTTGTTTATCCCTCAGATGCTCTAAGATAGGGAAAGAATTAGAGAAAGAAGACTGTAATGACTGAGTAGTTTGTGCTATAAATGTAACTTTCCAGAATTCTTGAGTGTCGAAGATAGGAGGCTCGATTTTAGGAAGCATTACTAACAGCAAAAGTATGTACACAAATAACCAAACAAAAAATAAAGTATCGGATGTCTGAAGGGAAATGCAAGATACCTTTGCATCCATCCAGAAAGTTAACCTAATTTTTATCTCTAATTTTCATCTTTTCCACCAGTCTATCCTTGATCATGCCACCAAAGTTATTTTTTGAAAATACAGGTCTCAAAATTTTGCTTTGATCTTTAAAATACCTTAGATGTCTTCCCGTTAAATATTGGGTGAGGTCCAGACTCCTTGACCTGATTTTTAAGCCCATCCCCTTCCTGGCTGCACGCTGTGTTTCCAGTCTTATCTCCTACCGCTTCCCTTTCTCCCGTGAGCCCTGTGCTCCGGCCAGATTGGGCAGCTCCCCATTCCTGAACAAGCGCAGCTTCCTCCCTTCCCAGACCTCATTCTCCGAGGCCCAGGTGAAAGGTTTCTCCTCTGGAAGGACCTCCTTGACCTTGGGATCATTAAGTTCTCACTCTTTTCCTCTTTCATGACATTGTACTTTATTTTAAGAAGCTATCTTATAGTATATTGTATAACAGTTTCCCTCTCCCACCAGATGGTAAATCCCTGAAGTCAGGGGTAGTTCTATGTACCTTGATAACCCCAGCTCCCAGCATAGCATCTGGGGTGTAATAGGAATAAAATGAACATTTGTGGATGGGATAAATGCTAAAGGAATCCCAAAGAACGAGTCCTTCTGTTAGGGGTCAAAGTTTCTTAATACAGAGAGCATGGGGTCTTGAAAAAGAAAACGACGTATGTTAAAAAGGAATATGATTGCGACAGATGATATAGTATGGCCATGTTTCTGAATTAAGATTGTTTGCCCACCCACCTCCATTTGTCCCTGTTAAAAAATCAAGGCTTAGTCAGAAGAGTTGCATAACCAAGCTCCGACCCAGGATAGGTACATTGCTTGCCCGAATATTCCATATAAAAAAAGTAACAAGTGAATCTTCTCATTTTTTAAAGAAAAAATATCTTTCCTTGCATTCTTAACCTTCAAAAACTTTTAAAATAGAGGCATCACCTTCGGAATAAAGGTTACCAGTAATATTTCAACTGTTGTGTTGCTTCAGGCAGACACCTGAAACACCCACTTATTAACCACCATTAATTAAGCCAAATTCATTCCAAGCGATGACAATTTGTAAATTTACAACAAGTGCCAGCGAACATCAACTGGAAGGATGTGAGACATTCCAAGTGGAAAAAGCAGATGCAGACAGGAGGATGAAACACGCAGGCAACAGCAGGTAGTTCAATTTTGGCTTAAAGAAAGCATCAATTAAGTGCACTAAGGAGATAAGATTAACACGGTTTGGACCAAGATCTTGTGGGATTCTGAATAACAAAGAGCCTGCCATGCACTTGTTGTACTGTAGGGAAGCATTGAGTAGTTATGAGTGGGGGAGTAAGTTGGATAGAGTTATAGGACATAGGACATGTTAAAGTTTGGAATGACTGGTTTTGAACCTCTTCCAGTGGGCAAAGGTAGCAAAAACCTGAGTCTTGTGGACAGAAAGAGCAAGAACAGAGGACAAAGACGCTAGAGAGCATCTTGGGTGTACCACTCAGCTCTGGGACTGAGGAAAATGAAGTGTAAACCATTCAGAGGCTTTATGCCTAGATTTGGGGGAAGACCGTTGGGCCACCCACAGAAAAAGGCAGAGGAGCCTAGGAGCTGGACATGCCAGCTGATCTTCCCTCCAGGACCTGGGGGAGGAATGGGAGAGAAGAAATGACTGGTAAAGAAAGAAGCAGATGACAGATAAATTTAGGGTCAGCACCAAGAATCCCACTGAGGTTTCTCCTCTTCCATGTAAGGGTCTTAAAAATAATAGTAAAATAAAATTCAAAAGTAGTAGGGGCACTATAAAGAGATCACCTGGTTGAGCACATGAGTTTAAGGAAATTAAATTATTTATATCATTTCTATCCTACAAAGTGGCCAACAGAAGTTAGGTTATTGGCCAAAGGTCTAAAATGTAAAACAGACAAACAAACAAACAAAACTCCAAAGTCCTAGTTCTCCTAGGAGAGCTGTCTTGCATGTACATAATTCTGCCCCCTACTCACCAAAAAGTTAAATTTCTACATAAAGCGAGAATCAATACCAGATAATTCTACTTCCAAAATTCTGGGGCAGTGTATTAAAGATTCGGCTCCTGAAGGCACTTACCATCAAACTTATTAGCATCACAGGAACCCATCTAATTAGTTAACTTATGATTATGATATAGAAAGAAGTCAATCATTGATTAAAACATTTTTGGAATTGCCTCGGATCAGGTAGCTCCCTCCATTTTATACCTTAAAACACACACTCTATTTCTCTTGCTCTGTCTGCCTGCCTCTCTCTCATACAGAGAATCACACACTCAAACACCCATACACACCTTTTATCTTATAAGCTGAATAAGCAAACACCAGCCTGCATAATTCTACAGCACGCCTCAAAGCCCTGATACAGTAATTCCACGTAATCCTAGCTTTTGCTCCCATCTGTACAGGGCTCATTACAGCAACACCCCTGCAGATGGTGCCAGAAAGGTGAAGTGTCAAATCCACAAAGGGGAGACCCCAACAACTCATTGCTACTGCAATATCAATCATTGCTGGTGGTTTTTACTTTTATCTCCCTCTCTCCTTAGTTATTCCCACTCACACTGTCAGTTCAGCTAGAATATTTCACCTACACCTCACAATATGCCGAAAGGAAGTAGACACACGCTGTGAAAAGCTGGTAATTTTATTGGGTTCCTTTACCTTTAAAAATCTGTTACTTGGTCAAGTCTGGTTTCTGGGCTCCTTTTTTGCAGGGAAATTGAGGCAAACATTTTTATGTGGTCCTCTGGTGCCTGCTCTGTACTCCAAGAATTATATACACAAGGATCATTAGAGTAGTGTTTCGCCCATTAAGATATA